ACCTGTGATAAATTTGTTGAAAATTCAAGTATTTCCATTAAAGAAGATGAAAATTATTTGAAAAAGGGATAAATGATCTACCTCGTTTATCGATAACGAACGTGTAATCATGAAAATTCTAATTTATATGAATTATACGATACATAAACGTTAATGTATTTCTTGTTCTACGTTGTATATTAGTCGCTCATTTGCAATATTGATTAACTCCTCGAAATAGGATACAGAAGATATAATTTTACAGAGTTAGGCATAAATCAAATGCTCTAGTGGAAAATCTAGTGGAAAATCTAGTGGTAAAGTGGTGATAAAATTTGTCTAAATTCACAAAGTGAAATTAGCAATTCTTTTTTTCTATTTTATATGTGTTTCACAAAATTTAACGAAATTTATTAAAACGCATTACAATTTAATCGATATTAAATATTTAAAATTTGACTGTACTCTGTCGGTAAATTACAATATACAACGATTGTATATTGGACAACAATTAATTATATGTAATTTAAGTATACGTATATATTTACAACAAATTTTATTTGTATTTTCTTATTTGATACAATTTCAAATACTTGTGTCATATCCAAAAATTTCCTGTAATTCATTACAGAATTTGTAATTTAATTGAAAACTGTTTAATACTAGAATTACTAACTTGTAATATGTATCTAAGTATAGTATACATAATTAGCAGTAATTAAAATGGCACGATGGAAATAAATAAATATATGTAATTTAAGTATACGTATATATTTACAACAAATTTTATTTGTATTTTTTCCTTTGATACAATTTCAAATATTTGTATCATATCCAAAAATTTTCTGTAATTCATTACAGAATTGGTAATTTAATTGAAAACTGTTTAATACTAGAATTACTAACTAGTAATATGTATCTAAGTATAGTATACATAATTAGCAGTAATTAAAATGGCACGATGGAAATAAATAGGTATGTGCGTATAATACCTATTACATATACGCATAATTATATCTCTGCCTTAATAAAAAATATATCATCAATTTTGCATGAAACAGCTTCACATTTTCCATAATTAAAAATACAAAAATTTAGAACTAGCTATTTCAAGTTACTAGTTCTAGTATTACCCCTTTGCACAAAGTTACGAAATACTTGGGTAATTATTCTGTTAGGTTTGGAGGAATCTTCAATTCCTTGAAGGAAAATAAGAATTTTTGCAAAACAGAAAATGGAAATTTATTTTAAATGCAGAAAATTAACCCTTTGCACTCGAAAGGTGACTCACAGTCACCGTTTCTTTTAATGCTATAACTTAAATAATGGATGATGATAATTATATTAAGAACATCGAAATAAAATTATTCTATTCGTTCGTTTCTCACGCAAATTCACGATTTTCATTTTTTAATTTTAGCATAAAGAGTATCAGTACGCTTATAAAAATCTAAGAAGAGCTTCGAATTGCATCTTCATAACGAAGAAATCTTCGAATCCAAAGGGTTAAGTATCGAGTATCTAATATCAAGCGTTTTGACAGAAAAATTTGGAAAAATTCAAAAAGCGAAGTTAACCCTTTGCACTCGAGAGACGCCTCTCAGTCGCCATTTAATCGGATTCTAAAGATGGATGTTAATTAATATATCAAATTTACAATTCCCCAACGATGCGTGGAATATCGAAGTAAAATAATTCTACGTCTTAATTTGCATACGATTCCTTATTTACCGTTTTAAAAATATCGTCAACTTTATGGCAGAAAGTCTTCGAATTACTATTTTCCTGTAACGAAAAAATCGCCGAGTGCAAGGGTTAATCATTTTAATTTGGGAATCGCTCAAACATCTTTGAGATATACGTTTCGAGTTATCTTTCATTCCGATTTAATATTGGACAAACCTCGTTATAATTTTACAGAAACTTGCAAATATTTTTCTAAAAAGTATGCTACAATGGTAAAGGAATTTTGAAATTTCTTCGCAATAAAAATTTCAAATTATCCCGTATTTTATTTCAATATTAAGAGAAATATGGTAGAATCGTAAAATAACTCGCAAAACACATTTATGATACATACTTGTAACAGAATTTTTCGTGAAACTTCTTTTTAATCGGTAATAAATACGAATGTAATGAATGTAGTGATAATACGGAGTATGAAAATAATATGGAACTTATGATCGAAAAGAAATCTTGATTATCGAGAGAAATTCTTTTCATCTCGATCAGTCGCGTCGATCTCTTTCGATAATTTCGTCCTGTCGAAGGGAGACGAGCAGCATGTGTCCATCGAAGAAGACATCTACATATTCTTTTTTCTTGCAAGTATCGGAGTGATCATTATAGTGAAATATATGATCGATATCAGTCGTGTAAATTAGGAACAAATACCCTACAATCCCTGATCATCGATTTAAGAGCACGTGCTAAAGTTTCACTTTTATCTTAGTTGCCCTAATTGTTGCTAGATAGGTATACCACCATGTATACACAGAAATTGATTTAGTATTATTGCGATGCATTAACGTTTTAATTATGTAATTATTATTGTGGCATTAATTATGTAATTATTATTGTGACATTAATTATGTAATTATTATTGTGATATTAATTATGTAATTATTATCGTGGTATAATTGGGATACTGTGACTGACATAACTCCTCGTAATTAGTTATCAGTTATTATTTAATAAAATAATTACTTGACAAAATGATAAACACTCTAAGAACAGAGTATAAGTATTAATCGTAACACAAAATGTAATTATTATTGTGACATTAATTATATAATTATCGTGGTATAATTGAGATACTGTGATTGACATAACTCCTCGTAATTAGTTATCAGTTATTATTTAATAAAATAATTACTTGACAAAATGATAAACACTGTAAGAACAGAGTACAAGTATTAATCGTAACACAAAATGTAAAACGTTTAAGTCATTTAATTAGATCTGAAGATCGATGTTAATTAATATATCAAATTTTGCAATTATCCAACGATGCGTGCAATATCGAAGTAAAATAATTCTACGTCTTAAATTGCATACGATTTCCTATTTACCATTTCAAAAATATCGTCAACTTTATGACAGAAAGTCTTCGAATTACTATTTTCCTGTAACGAAAAAATCGCCGAGTGCAAAGGGTTAATATATATATATTATATTATACTACATTAACTAATATATATTATACTAATAATTATACTATATTAACATTTTATGTTTCACATTTTGTGTCGCGATTAGTACTTGTACTCTGTGCTTATAAGGTTTATCATTCTGTCAAGTAATTATTTTATATAATAATTTTTCAAATATCTTGTATGTCATTTATTTATGTTGAATTATTTATGTTATGAATAAATATATATATATAAATTATTCCATAAAATATAAATTATGCTATATGTTATATATGTATATATATATAACATATTAGTAGTAGTTAATATACTTTGTTATTGTTGCGTCCCAGAGACCGTGTTTATGGCATAATTTTTATTTTAATTTTCTGTACCTTTGTATTTAAATATATAACTTAATCCGCTGAAGGGTGGCGAGACGCGTCTAACCATCGGAGTTACAGTCATAATACGAAATAACAAAGTCTTTAAAATTATCGAAAATTAAAATAAAAGTTATACCATAAACGCTATAAACACTGGAACGGAACAGTTATTAAAAATCCTATGAACCTTTAAATTTCACTAAAAACATAAGAAATACCGGAACCTCTGAATGATTTTAATCTGATGACCACGGACTCTACTAATGAGAATCAATACTCCATTCGTGATTTCTAAAGATATTATCTTATAGACATACAATAATAATGCTAAATATGTTTATAATAAAAAAATACTAAAAATAAATTCACTTAGAATTCTACTTAATGTGTCCATATTTATATTATAACGTGATTAGTCTCTTTTGGTGGTGATCGTGGAACTACGATGTTTTTTGAAACAAAACTATATTAAATTAATTCAATTATTTCCTTCAAAAGAACATTATTCGCGCCGGAAATAGTCTTAAATTATTATTAAAGTATAACAACGAAAATATTATTAAAAAAAAGATAATAAACTCCATTAGTAGAGTTTAATTTATGGAAAAATCATTGATACAGAAGGTTCTTACATTTAATAATTGATATATTCATGTAAAAAATTGACAATTTTATCAATTTTTCGACAGAGGAACAGAATATTCTGCCATTTTCAATTTATTTTTGTAGAATCGGTAAATATTTCGTGTATAATAATATAGGAAGTATAGTATTAGTATTGGTACTAGAAAAACCTAATCTCGAAGCTAATCACAAAAATAAAAAATTAGTAATTAAATAATCTTCGAAAACCATTCAACTGGTGACTAAAAAATTTGGTAATATATTTTATTAATTCATATAATAAATTGACAATTTTATCAATTTTATCAATTTTCAACAGAGGAAAAGAATATTCTGCCATTTTCAATTTATTTTTGTAGAATCGGTAAATATTTCCAGTATAATAATATAGGAAGTATAATATTAGTATTGGTATTAAAAAAACCTAATCTCGAAGCTAATCACAAAACCAAAACGAAAGTAATTAAATAATCTTCGAAAACCATTCAACTGGTGACTAAAAAATTTGGTAATATTTTTTATCAATTATTTAGTTATATCACCATTATTTATATAATGTAACCATTACTCGTTAATACAAAAGACAAGGAAGATACTGCGAATGACAAAGTCATTCAAATGGCCCATCCTGTATACAGCATATTTCCAGTATTTACACGCCGCCTAAATAAAAAGTAAAATAAAATCAGCATAACCCGTGAAACGACACAAACAAGTATTTCTTTTATATTTTTAATGAATATGAAACGTAGGAAACGAGCTACCTCTTAAGGAAAGAAAATGTCATAATTGCGTTTATTTTGTTACATAAAATTATGAATTTGCAAAGTTCACAATGGCAAGAAATACGTATTAACGCGTACTTCGTGTCTTTCAGGGTCGCATGCCATTCATGCGTGCAATGAGCATGGAACAACGGTGGCAAGACCTGGCATCTCTTTTATCGTTACCTGGTGCACCAGACCACTTTGCACATCCTGCACATCCTGGATACCCAGGGCACGGTATAAGCCACAGTCATTATGAAGCACAGCGCAATGTATTGCTTCACAATGCCACTTTGGCCCCCCCGGTGGGTGACCTTAACTCCACGAATCCGTATCACAATGTGGGTGAGTATCTCGCAGCAAAAATTTTACTAATTAGCTATTTCTCAGAATTTGCTTTCTTCCTCTCAGTTACATCATTTTCTGTCATTTCTGGCACGTTCTGGAAAAGTGAAAAATGAAACGTAAAAAGGAAAAATTGCACAAGAATCATAGATAACGTATGAATTTGTATATGAGCCGTTCACTGCACAAATCGATTAACTCCACTTTTCGAAAAATCTTAAATTTAAGTGTCAAAGCACTTGGTATAGTCGTAACTTTTTATATTTATAATAACTTTCCCTGATAATTAAGATTAACACCATTAAACGAGAAAAATTGTTTGGCCACTGAATAATAAATAATTTATTTCAGAGATCACTTTGATTAACTCCATACTCTAATGTAAATCGTTGCAATAATGCAACTCAAATGCACTAGCAAGCCATGAATGATAACGGTGAATTTTTTAGTGCCGTCTTATCAGAATTTAAGTAAAATTTAGTAAAATTTAAATTTATTACTTTTTCCACTTGCCAAAACTTTTATGTAATATGTCTTCTTACATTTTTCACATATATTTATTTCGGTATAGACTGTTACAAAATATTCGAATACTTTTAATCATATAAAGAATGGTTTACAATAGTTATAACGATACAAAAATGATATTTCTTATAAGATAATTTGTTAATCTTAAGTGAATTTCGAATATTAAAAAATCCTTTCCTGATCAAGGCAATTCGAAAGAATGCAAATACGATTATTTTAATCTTGAACAAATATTTATGTTAGTCACATTTGTTACCCTAAGAAATACCAGATTTCTTTTTAATGTCATGACACGTTAACATAGGTAATATATAAAACACGCTCGTAGACGATAATATTGTTCAAAGTTCGTAATATTAATACAATAAGTGTAATTTAAATAATAGCGAAATGTAGGAAAATTGTATTCGACTTGAAACTAAAATACTAATTGCTACAGGTGGGTCGTCGAATCTGGGTTCAGCCGTAGCGACGTCAATGAATTTAACAAACAGTAGCGAACCGATGGGTGCAGAAAGTGGAACAGCTTATAAATCCGAGCCGGCAGATATGATGTATTACCATACACCAACTTCCGATTCGATCAATCAAACCACCGATGGTTTCCTTTCATCTCTTCTTAATGACGAGGATTTACATCTAATGGACATGGCCATGAATGACGGTATGTATACAATCTTTACTATTTTAACTTAATTATGGTACATGAATTTCTAAAATTACGGAATAACTATGTTTTTCATACCTTATATCGATAATTAATGAAAAAATTGATTTCATAACAAGTGACTAAAAAATATTCAAAATAAGTACTTCTTAAATTGCATTTTTTCTTTTTTTATTATAAAAAGGAACGTACAAAACACTTAACATCATTATTAGAGAGTACCATTTTATAAAATAAAATTTCGTTTTTACGTCTGTATCTTGATTTTATAATTTGTTCTTAAGAACTAACATTTGTACGACCGACACAGTACAGTAAACTGTATCAAAGATATCGAAAGAACTCGCAATTGCATCTTATCTCTTAAAATTAACATCTCTTCGCATTAACGAAGGTAACATTACAAGATCTAATACGTAACTTATATTTCTAAAGAGGTACATGATCCAGTCTATTTCATTTAAATAAGTCATTAATCACTGTTTAAACAAATAAAGAACAAAAATTACTATTACTTACTGTATCTTTGATTATCACGTTAAATATGTAAGAATTTAACGAGTACAAAAATCTTTGAACCTCTAACTTAGCGAATAAAGAAACAAAGTTTACTATCACCCTGTTTCTAATAGTAATACGAAAAAGTACATAAATGGAGAAACATATATTCTACCATTCTTCTTCTGGTTCAAGTATTTCAGCGGATGTGAACGCATCTTCGGTATATTGTTCTGCAGCTGGTTCCATCTATATACAAAGAAATACTTGCATTATCCATTTTATAATTAATACCACATACTTTGTAAGAATATAATTACAAGTTACATACCCCTCGAATATCTTCGCCTCCAAATTTGCTTCTGCCTTTTCCAGGCATAAAGTTCCTACTTGCGTTTCCACCCATTAACCAATCTGGAATAGGTTGGCCTGCTTGTTTCAATATTCTGATAAGATCACCTCGTAGTGGTGCATCGTCTTCCGGATCAAAGAAAGAAGTCGCTCTTCCTCGGTTTCCTACGCGACCAGTTCTCCCGATGCGATGAACATACTCGTCAATTCCCTTCGGCAAATCGTAGTTTATAACGTGTGAAACATTTTTTATATCTAAACCTCTAGCAGCAACAGCTGTGGCTACTAAAACTGACATTCTTCCACTTTTAAAGTCAGCTAATGCCTCCTCTCTTTGTCTTTGTAATCTGTCACCATGAATACTGGTAGTAGGATAATTATTCTCCGATAAGAAAACAGCAATAAAATCAGCTTTCTTCTTCATTTCAACAAACACTAAGGTACCCTTTAATGTACCTGCATCGTTTTCTCTTTCTAAGATTTCTTTGAGTAAATCTCTTTTCTTATATCTGGCAACTTCATAAAAATTTTGTTCGACATCTGAACAAGCTCCACCCACGATACCAACTGCGAGGAATAAATAATTGTTTAGAAATCTTTTTGCCAAGTGTTGTACTTCATCTGGGAAAGTGGCAGAAAACATTAATGTCTGCCTTTCACCTAGAGGAACCATAGTCTCATGATCTACGATTTTTTCGATACTAGGTAAAAATCCCATATCTAACATACGATCAGCTTCATCTAACACCAAGAACTGCAAGGAAGAAAACTTAATTCTTTTTCTCGCTACAAAATCTAATAACCTCCCAGGTGTTGCTACGAGTATATGACAACCTGCAGACAACTTTCCTCCTTGATGAATAACAGATGTTCCACCATATGCAACTACAGTCTTTAAAATTGAATTATGTGCAAACTTAATAATCTGTTGCCATATTTGTATAGTAAGTTCTCGAGTAGGTGATACAATAACAACTTGTGGCTCGCAATATGATGAAGTAACAACTAAATCAGCAGATCTTTCTAATAACATATTTATAATAGGAACTGCAAATGCTGCAGTTTTTCCTGAACCTGTTTGAGCACAAGCCATTAAATCTCGGCCACTCATTATAATTGGAAGAGCATGTTTCTGTACTGGAGTGGGCTTTGTATATCCCGATTTCCTTACATTTTCTAAAACGATACTCCTAAGTCCTGCTACTTCGAAATGTTCTATTGGTTCAGGTACATTTTCTCCACTCACGTTAACCTCGATATTGTCATACTTGTCAAAATTAATTCCCATTTCAACGCCATTTTCAAACAAGGACTTTTCATCGCTAGGTAACTCTGGTGGAATGTACTGTTCTTTAGGTTTCTGAATTTCGTCATCGTCATTGCTATTTCTGCCAGCAAATGTTCTATTTCGTCTATTACTTCTGTCATCTTGATTAACATCGTCATCTCCATAGTCGTTATTTCTTCTGTAACTATTGTTATCATCGTTGTCTCCATTTCTATTTCTAAATCCTCCTCTTCCACGATTGCCACCGCCTCCTCCTCTTCCTCTGAACCCTCCTCTACCATTATCTCTACCTCCTCCTCTACCTCCTCCTCTACCTCCTCTACCAGTTCCTTCAAAATCAGTACTGGTATCGTTAAATGGCCAACTATGGCTACTATTAAATTCACCATTGTTAGTACTTCCACCATTGAAACTTTTATTGCCAATGTTATAATCATCGTTATTATTATCTTGTATTATAAAGCCTCGTCCTTTTCCATAACTACGTCCACCTTCATCGAACTAATTTAAACATTGATATATAAATAATTTATTATCATGTGTTATTTGTAAAACTAAGCAACTTGTACTTACAGAAGGTTGAGTCCATGAAAAAGAATCTTGATCGTTATCCATTGTATTCTATAACAATTGATGTTTTGTTTTATATTGAAGATTTCAAAAAACAAAAACTAAACAGAAAACAACAAAGAGTCCTAATAATTAGAAAAACGAATAATATGATTTTAAATGTCACTTTTCAAAAACACTATAGATAAAATTTATGCAAGATATCGTGATAATAAATTTATTTCGTATATAATTGTTTCAAAAAATTAAACTTCTTTTTCGTTATAGTAATTAATCTTATTTTGAAAACACCTAGGAATATTTCCAGCTATTACATAAAAAACCGGTTTCCGAAGACGTCGGTTCAAAATATAACTCGTAAAAACACTCGCAGAAAAATCGATACAAACTGTAGAACATATCTGTTTCTACATCAACATCAATCATGCTTTTAAGACTCGACAAAAAAGGAAAGAATGTTACAAAACAAAACGGTTTTGTTTATTTTTTTTTTTTATTTGACCTAGTATTCTACGATTCCTATTTAGTACTGATTTATTTGAACGCTATAGTATAAAATACTTATTTGTAAAAATATGAATCATTACACGAATAATATTAATCTTTATTCCCCTTAATAGTATTTTATTTATGTGACAAGTGACATTCAGTCTTAATTAAATATATTAATTTTCAATGCGTAGTAAATATAACACGTGCATATCGGTAAAGGAAAACATGTTTACCGGCAAACATGGCTGATCAGTATTGACTACGAAAAAACTCATTTTAATTTGACAGTACTTACCTTTTGACTGCTAATAGAAAAAATGCCAGCGAAGGTAGTTTAGTTAACAGAGTCGAACAGATCGATGCGGTAGATCGTTTTAACTGCCGAAAGACGAATGTGGCCGCCCAACCGTGAGAGTAGAAATGCTGACACGCTCAACCGTTGCCACTACGAACAAAGAGCTGACAGAGCAGCCAACAAAAGAAAAACCGTTCTCGCGAATCAGCTATCGAGTTTTGAAGCAGCGCGCATGCGCTTTGCGTGCTGCGTTTAACTCGTATAACGACGTAGTAAGGCGTTAATGAACCTGTCTTTCTCGAATTAATGTAACAATTTTATTAATGTAAAATTATATTTATATTAGAAGTTTATTAAAACCTATACTATAGAAACAAATCATTAATGAACAAATTTAATATTAAAAATTTCTTAAACAAAAGTAACATACTTAATTTTCACATAAATAATTGTTAATATTAAATTATATTCATATTCAAAATTTATTAGAAATTTGTATTAGAAGAAGAAGTTGCTATTAATGAACAAATTTAACGTGAAACATTTCTTAAAGAAAGTCAATGAAACTAATTTTCAAACAAAGAAATAATGATGATACTTCATAATAACTTTAGAAATCTAGAATGATAGCTTCTTTTTTTGTGATATCACTCGAAATTGTCAGAAAACTTACTTGGATAAAACTATTTGTAAGTCGAATTGTTAAAGAGAATATTTCTCGAATATCTATAAATAATATACAATAATGTCACTAATACTAAAATTGTTATTTTGTTACTACAATAACAACAATAACAACTACATTGTTTCTTATTCAAATTTATAATTCGAACAGAATTATACGTATCTAATAATCAGTTACATTTGGTAAAATCATATGGAGAAGTTTAAAAACATCGTTTCAGATAAAAGGCCAATAATATTCAAGGTTGACTTTTCTTTATGTGCAATATAGTTGCAATTTAATGGTAGTCAGTTTTACATCTTCGATGACTATATCAAATTTACGAGTAACTATAATTGATAACAAAATTATAAATTTTTATACACACGTTATTATATATTAGATACATTTCGATGAGCTCTAATTCTATTTAAGTTATTTAATGATTTTCATAAATATGATCAATGTTTACAGGATATAATAAAAAATATATCTAGTACAAAAATATAATAATAGAGAAATGAAATAAAATAAAATTTCAGTGTGTTTTACGTACAGTATATTCAGAGTTGCATGAATTTTACACTTATTCTCTTAATTATTCTATAGAATATATTATTCAACGAATTTTTCATAAAATGCTAAAATTGTTTCATTTGCGACGCTGATGATGAAACATTTATAGGTTAACTTATTATTTGTTAAATTGTTGTTATTATACCTTTATTTGTATTTAAAATAAAAATTGGTCTTTGATTTTTATACGACACTTTTACGTTATATCAACATTTACAGATGTACTAATTGTATAGTATCTTTTTTGACCCACATTTCTATGTTTACTAATACATGACGTGATATATGATTCCAAGAATAATATGTGAGAACACAATACCTTTTTAACATAATTTATTTTTGCCAAATCATTTCAAGAGAAAGACACTGTAGTACTACACAAAGTGGTAATCATGATTTTCAATATTAGTAACGTAAGAAGCATATCACAACTAAATTTTTGTGTATAATAATTTATTAATATATAATAAGTAATTAATGCATACGTAATAACATATGATATAATAATTCTATATAATAATTAGTTAATCTATAATAATTTTAGATAGTAAAATTAATAACAATTTCTTTTATGTTTTCTTTGTTTGAAATAATATTTAACCTCAGTTCTAACGAAAATTATTACAGACTTAATATTAAATATTAAATAAATGTAAAGAAATAAATTTCTCTTATCTAATAATTATTTATATTCAAATTTCGTAAATTTTAATGTGATTTTTTTATTTAAAATATTTTTTAACAACCCCATTGCTAAGGAAATTATTACAATATAGTATATGTTTTTTATTTTTTAGATATATATTTTAAATATATTCACTTTATTTACTTTTTAATCAGTAGAAAAACAGAGATATATGATAAATCAACTCACGTGTATTATACATTTATAGATATATGCTGTTACATTCTTATCTTTACCACAAAGCTATTATAGTTGTATGCATAAACGATAAAAAGTACAATTCACGCAATATGCTTGATATGTTAATATAAAGCTATGAAATTTCAATTTTAAATAACTATTTTAACTTAAACGAATATTATTAATTATTCGGATATTTTAGTGTATGATATATAAAATTAAAATTAATATTAAAATCTCAAAGTATAGCATATAAAGAATAAGTTTATAGTTTTTCTACTATACAATTATACTATACAATTATTCAGTATTAAATATATATAAATACATACATACATCAGTGTTAATATATTACAATTCTAAATATCTTCAAACATTATTAACAATTTTCTATGTTATTATTAATTCAGAAAAAATAATTAATATATTAAATTAAACAACACAGTAACGCTAATCAATATATTACATTAAACAACATAGAAATACTAATTAATGTATTGAATTAACTAACCGTAACTGTTACAGTGACATTTTGAAGTTTAATTGTACATGATAATAAAAAATACGTTATCCATGATAGAATTATAGAACAATCGAGGACGATAAAACGAAGTCGTGCATCATGAAAATTGACGTCATTGACAGCGAATACGCGATCACATATCTGTTATCAGTCCGCTTCTCTCGAATCGTGCAATTCGTCACAAAGTTGCACACAAATTGATGCGTATACAGATAGAAGCGACAAACGCGACGCACGTGTAACAATGATGAATAAGACAAAGAAAAGAAGGAAAGAGAAAAACGCAGTTTCGCCGTAGCCGTGCATAGACGTGATAGGGCCAACCTCCAGTATCGTTTCGTTGTGGTTTTCGAACATTCGGTTTATTGAACGAAACTTCTAGACATACCAGACGTATCTAGTAATCGTTTATGCAGATTTATTTTGTGCCTTGCATGTTGATTTCCAGCGAACCTCGTGCATCGTGTATCGTATATAATTTTTAACTTGGTGCTTACAGATATTAATTAGGGATTTAATTAATGTGACATTACACAATGCTTGCTTTAATACCGCTTTGGAAAAAAAAAAAGTATGATTAAAAACAAAAAGAAAGTTAAAAATAGTGCATAAATATTTACATATAAATGAATTTTTTAAAATAAATATTTATAAATTGTCTTGATAAATTATATTTCATATTTTTATCATCAATGAATATTATACTTCATGGAAAATTAAATCTTTCAAAATTATGTTCGTGTAGAAAATACAAATAATATGTACACTTATATGAAAAAGATTAACATAATAAAACATATGTTTGCACTCGTAAAAATTTTAATATCACAGTGCGGCCCTGATTAATTGTTAGAAACTCAAGGAATATTTTAAAAAATTCATAGATGACATTGCAGAAGAGATCATGATATGCAGTGAATAAACAAAATTTCTTCTGTCAAGTTAGAGTTAAAGCAAATGTACTATATCTTGTGTAAGCCACCGTGAACGTACTTGAGAAGACTAAATCTATGCATTCTTTACGAATTGATTGTTCTTTGTAACATCGAAGTGACCATTCCCACTACCCAGATGGCACGCAGTTGTCCCACGTGTTCTGTGTGGCCTTGAATAGCAGTAAAATAAACTTCGAAATCGTTTTATGTATACCTTTTCAGAGTGCGTAAAAAGTATAACTCAATAGTGCTGTAAACTCACTCTTCACGGGACCAAATGTGAAAATATATCCAGTGAAATTGGTTGTCCATAGTAACCACCTGTAAATGAAATTTTCAAATTTTTCAAATTCATATGCTTCGTACGAATACATTTATTAAAATTCTTTCTAACCATCTCGAAATATTCGTAAAGCAAATATTAATTAAATAAATAAATATTTATTTCGTGGAAAAAAGAATATTAAAAAAATGTAATAAAAATAAAACGCAGACTGTGAGATTAATTATGCAATATCGATTGTTTCTATAAAAATCCACGATTGTTTATAACACGCTGTTCGTATTTTATCCGATCATTCGAAGTTCGTGGAATCAAGTGTGAAAGTTATTTACACATCGGCGGGCAAGCACGTATTGATTGATTTGAACGACAAAAACAGTGTCGATCCTATAGTGATAAATATTCATGTGGT